AGGTGATGACTTGCGCAGCAGCGGGAGGTAAACCACCCTTGGTCGTGGCACCGTCTGACATTTCCACGTCCCCGCCTTGATTGGAAGCATCCGTGCCGACACCAGCACCAGCGGATGCACCAAGAGATCCCGAAATGCTCGCCAGCGCACTCCGAGCTTCGTCTCGTTCGGAAATGAGACGCGCGACCACACGATTGGCCGCATCGTTGGCGTACAGCGCGTGTGCTAGCTCCATTCGCACTTCATCGTAGTTCTTCTTGAGCGTGAAGAGCTCCATCATCAGACCGTCATACTCGTTCTGAAGCGAAGTGAGCAGGGATGGGATGGATGAATGCGTCGGTGGTCTGGGAGCTGCAGCGCGGGGACCTGATGAATGGACCTTGCAATGTGAGCATGCGCTGATCTGTGAGGCGCTTAGATGCGATCCCATTACTCACTGGCTTTCACCTCGATCAGATCATCGTGACTCAGGACCTCTCCAGTAATCGGATCCTTGCCATTCTCGTCGATGTACTTGCGTATCAATCTGGCTTCGTAAAGCTGGCCAGACTTTGACGAGATGACGGGCTGAGCCGGTGGTTCGCCCGAGATTGCGCAGAACATGTTCGAAAATAGTTCTGCGAGAGACTGTACTGGCAAGCGTGGAATCAATAGATGGTATCGAGCCAGGTGCCTCGGTGTCTGAGAAAGCTGAGCGAAAGCGTGCGACTTTGGAAGAAATGAGATGTGGGCCATGAGTCGTCGCGTTGTCGCCGTGTAGGCGCGCTGCCTGCTGTGATCGCGCGCGTGTGGGCGACGCAGCACGTGGCTGCGACCAGATCGAGATCTCTGCGCGTCCCACTCACCACTCATGACTCCCGACTCGTGCCTGTTGACTCGCGTGAATTGCTAATTATTACACGTTCGTAACAAAGCAATTTTGAATCGCAGGTCGACTTTGCCATTCGCGCTTCTCCAAGCACAGCCCGTACCACGACCGCACTGGACCTCGCAAGCAATTCGGTCTTCTGACTCTCTCGGAAACAGCTACTTGCGTTGCTGTACATAGTGGCGCAATCATGGCCGCCTCACTTTCAGCCTCCTTCAACAGGCTTGCGGTGCAAACCCTCGCAAGCACTTCGGTGCAGCAAACCAGACAGCTGGGAGTCGGGACGATGACGAGATGCCGGATCGTCCCTGCTGAGAGCTACAGAGCTGGCAGGGCCATCTCGTCCACTGCCAGCCATCGCCAAGGGGATGCAGCGCCAACACCACTAGCTTCACGTCTCGCTCTTGGAAATCTGTCGCCGCTGCAGCCAAAGAAGGCGGTGAGTGCAATTGGCTGTGATGCATGAGCTCGACTTTATGGAATGCTGACAGTCAGAGTGGGACGCTTGCGTGCTATTGTAGAGGAAACGAGTGGGAAGAGGAGACAGTTCTGGAAGAGGAGGAACGTCGACGAGAGGACACAAGGGTCAGAAAGCCAGAGCTGGAAATGGAAGACCGGTCCCGGGTTTTGAGGGAGGGCAGATGCCGCTTCACAGGGCGTTGCCCAAGAGGGGCTTTGTGAACACGTGAGTCGCAAAATGCTCTCTTCTGTATCACATGGAGTGATGGCCAGGGAGGAAGCTGTCACTTGGCAAGAAGGTTGCACACTGACAATCTCATTTACTTCGTTGGCAGGCACAAGCAAGAGTTCACGACGCTCAATGTAGACAGGCTACAGAGCTGGATAGATCAGGGAAGGATTGACGCTTCTCAACCCATTACAGCTCGCGAACTGTACGCGAGCGGCTGCGTGACAGGGCGCCTGCGCGATGGGATTAAGCTTTTGGGCAACGTGAGTCGAAGGGCGCCTGCATGTATGCGTCGATCTTGTAGAAGCGAGGGCAAAGTGCACACCACTTACTGACTCATACCGTCGGATGTGCCTCTACCTCGCAGGGGGCAGACTTTGTCTCCAGCCCGGTCAACATCGTCATTTCTAAGGCGACACCTACAGCAATTGCTGCAATCGAAAAGGCTGGAGGATCGATCATGACGCGATACTACACTCAGCGGACTTTGCAAAGTTTGATTCATCCCGAGCGATATGCGGACCGGCCTCCTCCTGGGCATGCCCGTCCGACGCACAAGGATGACCTCCGTGAGTTCGAGGAGCGCAATGCAACGAGAGCTAAATACCTCTGTCTGTGTGCGTGTGCAGCTTTCTGACGCGCATTGCACCTTGTCGATGATGTGCATGCTTCGCAGTCTACTACTCAGACCCAAAGAACAGAGGCTTCCTTTCTTTCCTAACCCCGCCCGAAGTGGTTCCCCGTTACAATGCGGATGGTATTCTGGTCGCCGTACCGGACGCTTTTGCCAGAAAGGTCGCTACTGGAAGCACTGGCTCGACCGAAGCCGCTTCGGATAGAGAGTCCCTCGAGACTAGAGATGCGATGAGCGCATTGGCGAAGGAGGCGGAGCACAAGGTGGCGCAGACGGAGGCTTAGCTCGGACCCTTTTTCCCCGTGTCGCCTGGAACTGCAGTGGTCATAAGATGAGTGCACACCCAGAAACAAAGCTTGATTTCGGCATCTTGTAGCGTTGCTTTGTTGCAAAGTCTTTTGTGTGCTCTTGTCTGTCTGCCGGAAGCGTGAACCTTGGCATGACGCTCAGAGCTCCAAATGTGAAAGGCGAGTGGGAAAACAAGAATGGGACACTCGTGCAATGCAGGCGGCAAGAGCGCAAGAGGTCAATCGGCGGCAGCCGCTCGACTTTGCTGCTGATTGGATTGCATGCTGCTGCTGCTGCTGCTGCTGCTGCTGCTGCTGC